ACAGCTGATGGGTAACAAATCCTAACAGCAAATGACAGAATTGAAACATAAACCTCAAGATACTTGAACTGTTTTTAACCTCTTTATGTGGGAAATAAGGATTTTATGTCAAATTATTTCTGTCATACATAGAACAATCAAGCAAACAGTATATGGATTACATTTAAGAATTTACAATAAAAGGAAAATGAAATGGAATTAAGGAGCAATTTAGAATGCATATTTATATAAGAATAATGCAGAAATTTATTTGTTTTTAATTTGAGAGAATGAAATTTTAAGGATTGATGGAATATTTTTCATTTTTGTTTGTTCAAAAAGCATATATGTCATGTACTTGGACAAGTTCAAATTGATTGTAGTTTTAATTTCGGGATTTTATGTTCTTCATTGACCCTGATGTTCTTCAACTAAGGGTCGATGAAAGCTGGTGAGGATTCGATCTTAATCGACTGAAAGAGATCGATAAGTATTTCTCACTGACTGGAATGGATTGGTGAGGAATAATCCTCACCATTAGAAGGTGTCGACTAGGAACAATCGTCACCGACACTGATGATTATTCCTTATTGACTCCTCCTGATTGATGAGGATGGTCTCTTACCTACTAGATATGGTATAATCCTCACCGACAATGATGATTATTCCTTGCTAACCTTTTCCAATTGGTCAGGCGACCAGGTGCAGTATGTGAGGAACTTTATTTCACAAACTTTTTTTAATCGATGATGTATTTAAAGTTTGCTTATTGAAGTTACTAAAATTTTATCTGATTTATTCGTAGTGTTTGCTTTACGTGGTATGATCCCTTGCCATCGTTGTGGTTGCTTTGCATGGTTACTCTATATTTATGTTTCTCATTTTTACTCCTTTATTGTGGCAACGGTCAACAAATTTGAAGATATATTGAACTGAATTTAATAACAATTACATCAGAATTAAGCTAAATGAACATAATGCTTCACATAGGGGTTGACCGACCACTCACATTGTACGTGGGTCCCGACATGAATTAAATAATACCGACCTCCCCATGTGTGTGTTGTGTCAACCATTTCGGATAGAAATAAGTACTACTTAAGTACTCATTACCATGAATTTGAAGTTACACTAAATTGAATTTAATAAAAACTTATGTCAACCTTTTCCATCAAAAATAATTATTGACCAAATGCACTTAGGAAATTTTTTTTCTCACTGACCCTTGGCAGTTGGGAATTTTTTTTTCCACCGATCCTTCGCAGTCTGTGAGGAACTTAAATATAGACTTTACTTAATCGACACTGTGTTTAAAATTTGATTAAGTTAATAAATGTATTTCACGTACTTTAAATGTATTATAAATGTTTAAATTCTTAAACGGAGATGAGGTTTCTATTTGTTACATCAGCAAAACATAAAACAGGAAACAACCGCTGCTCAATGCACAAGCCGAAACATTTTATTATGAGCAACAGTAAATCCTTTCGTCTCAAGACAACACCGAATCCAGTGTTACACCATATAAAAGCAGTCGACAAAGCCCATTTTTTGAACAACGGTGACTTGTTATCTATGGTAGGCATGGGTTTTAGCCCGTCCGCATCAACTGAAACTTTTCTAACACGAGCCTTCAACCTCAAAAACAATTGTTTGATAAAACGAAGACAAATTTTCATTTATTCTAATTATGGGAGGTCCTTTTTACTTTCACCACTATTCGGCTTATGCTGGGAGCCAGGAGTAATTGGCACAGGCTCGCTCGTCTTCCCTTCAGTCGACGTTCCAGTGGTTACTTTGGAACTCTTGCTTGCTTCTAATCCACGTTCTTCAATTTTACTTGCTTCGATTTGTGCATCATTTGATTGCTTTTTAGATTCAATGACAATTTCTTTTACAGTTTCTTCCAGCTTGTTTAGTCTCTCTTTTACCTCCCTAAGAACTGGATCAGCAGCTCTTTCTTTGGCTTTCTTTAATTCCATCTCTTTTGCTTGTGCTTCAAATTCAGCTTGTTTCTTCAACTCGAGTTCCT